GATTGCTGTTGCATGTCAAGATTTGTCAGGCAAATGAAAATATTTTGCGGCCCGGGTTTCTCTCTACGAGGTTTGTTTTCCTTGGGCCCTTCGCTGCAATGTCATAAAACATTATTGACATTTCAATTGTAAAAGCATTTTGTGTGTGACATTTTTTTGAAACAGCCATGGAGCAGGAGATGTTTCTATCCCTTTTAAATATTTTTTTTGCTTTTTTTCTGCTTCCCTCTTAGGACCTACAACTGCTCCCCGACGATTCATTAAAGTCCTTAATTTTCCTTGTTCTCCATGCCGGTTTGGTCACCTTTCGGCTCACGCATAAAACTTCCGGCAAACAAAGCCAGAAAAAGCGAAACAACAAATAAACAAAGTCAAGTTTTTTCCACGCTCCTTTCGGCTCTTGGCTTACGAAAAGTTTTACGAGCTTATCCTGGCAAGTAAGGGCAGACGAACGGCGAAGGACGAGCTACAAAACATGACGAAACACATACAGGACATGGCCCAATGATGCCAAACTGCAGTTAAGCGGGAGGAGAATGGCAATAAGCACTGAAAGAAATCGTTTGTATCATAATAAATTCATTTAGTCTGTGGTATAATATTATATTTTAATAATATTATTATTTTTATATATTTAATCAGCGGTATAATTTAATATTAATATTATTTTTATATATTTATTCAGTGGTATAATGTAACATTAATATTATTTTTATTTATTTGATAGCATTATTTATTGACTGAGCTTACAAATTTCTAGCAGTGCATAGGGTTAAGATTAAGACAAGCGTCTGCCATGATAGAACTCAACCCGACATCTGCTTCGGGCTTTGGTTTGGACCCGTGTCGCCGCTTTCTTCGCCACTTCAGAATTCGGGGGTTCGCTCAGGTGAGCCGGAAAAAGTTATAAGGTGCCAAAGGCCGTAAAAGATGCAATCAAAATCAAACTGATTTGTCTCCGGGGAGCGATGCCAACTTTTATATTTACGACCGGGACTGGGACCGGCACAAAACTCCGACATCAGCAGACTCGCGACGAGACGAAGATGGAATACACTCCGAGTTGATTAATGCACTGCCGGGATATATGAATATCTGAGCAGATTGGCTGCTCCCTAATGAATGGACCGGTACGGAAAGAGTAGTAAAAAAGTTTTTAGAAAATTAAGTTATAAAAAAAGAAGTCGAACTTATTTAATTACTATTTGATTTATTTTTATATCTATCTAACTCTAATTAATTTATATAAATTCCTGACAAATTATTTGGAAACAAAAAAGTCATTCTAACATTGCACAGCTATTTATCATACCCTTTTCTTTGAGGCCATAAAAGCGGTTTTACCTATTTTGGTGGCTGCATTTAAATTGCACTGGCACAGAGGAAGGGAGTGAGACTCGAACTGAAACTGAGACTGGGCCAGGAAAGATGTCCCGGCAGCTGGACGCTTTAATTAGACAGTCGCAGTTGTGTGAACTTCGGGCCAAAGTTGCCGGGGGGCGGGGGAAATGCGGCGGAGGAGGAAGCCGGAGCTGGAACTGAAACTGGATATGAAGCTGGATACCGAATCTGGAGCTTCCTCCCTGCAATGGCCGCCGGTCGCGAGTCATGAAATTTATGCGTTAAAATTGCATAATTTGGCCAACACACACAGACGCAGACGCGGAAAAACTTTGCACATAAATTCTGGAAGTCAAGGTAACGGCGGAAACTTTTTGACCAAACCCCCTCGGAGTCCCTGGGGCCCTATCAAATTAAACACTTTCTGGTGTTGGGGCGTCTCTACTTAACGGAGTCGGGTGGGAACGGGGGGGTTCTTCCCCCAGATGCACAGATACAGAGATACACGTGCTCAGATGGAAGATGCACAATTCAAAGCACACACGATTCGATTTTAATTTCCTGTTTCGGCTTGTTCTGCCTCTTCCCTGGAAAAAAGCCCTTCGAATTCCCCCAATCCCATCCAGTCGGTTGCCATTTCATTGCCTCTTTTGGAATTTGCAAATACGAGTTTGCATGGGTGGATAAACTTGCCTTTTTCTGTATTTCTTTTTTTTTTCCCCTGCCATTTTCTGTTGTTATTTTTTGTCTGTGACATTCTAAGTGAATTTTTTGTGTGCCGACTCCCTAATAGTTTTTCAGTGCAAACTTTATTTAGTGCTCCTCGGTGGGATTGCCCAGCACCCTGAATGCTCACTCAATTTTTCGTTCGCCAATTTTTGAACATTTTTGCAATGAATTTCGTTTTCGGCTGGTCCGTCTGACATCTCGTTCTGTATGTGTGTTTTGTCTGGCGGCGTTTTTATGAAGATAAAAAGCTCAACAAAAGTCTGGCCAAATGTCCGGCGGCTTATATGCGACTACCACTCTGTGGATTGTGGCTAATGGGGCTGATGGCCTAGAACCCATTTGAGCCCAGTTGGTAGGGAAATCGAAGGGGGGTTGTAGAATTGGGCAGGCGCTCGGTTTTGCTGTTAGCTGCAATAATTGTTAATTGGCAGCAATGGATTTAAATTGTTATCGATTGCCGGCTGCGAAACAATTATAAATGGCCAAGTGTGAATTCCGGGGGTTCAGGGAGTGCTTAAACTTATGCCATCGATAAATATACAATTTTTGATGGTGTTTGCCTGGCTTGACTTCTGTTTGCATTTTAAATGCAGAAATCTAGACGCTTCGTTTCTGCTTAAAAATTAAATTTATCTTGGATCTTGTATACATATTTCTCAAATTGTATATTTTATATGTTTAAATTGGTAAACTTTTCCCAGACAGCCATGCATACTCATAAAATAATAATAATAAATAAAGTCCTGAAAATTCGAAAAAAATCTGTTGGTTGAAGAAACTCACTTTGCTGCACTTAACTTTTTGGACTCGACAATGGAATTTTTAGCATTCGAAATGGCTTAGCCGTTTACACTGATTGTTTCGAGGAACTTTTCGTTTTAAGCTGACTTTGCAGCACAATTGGCCAAACTCGACGGTCCGTCGGAGGACTTAAGTTCGCCAGGCGGCTGACGAGATGTTGCCAAAATGCAAAGCAAATACAACAAACCGAGGCGAAAAGAGGGAGATCAAAGTGAGGGACTTTCCGGCGTGACGGGAAACGGAGCGTGGGCAAACAAATCCTGTCGCATAATTTTTGGCAAGAACGTGAAATTAATTATGCGCAAGAAGAAAGGCGGCAGTCAGGAAAAGGGCTAACAAAGGACCTCGCGTAACATCCTGGCCAAGTCGCGTCAGCTGCCAACAATTTTCCTGGCGCCCAACAGGAGCTGCCGCCACAGGAGTGGGCAGCCCTCGGAGCATTCGGTCTGCAGCAGCCGAGGATTATGTTAAATTTAGCGGTGACGATGACACACAAGACACTTGGCAAAAGGTTCTCACACAATGGCCGCAATAATTGCGCGGAATTGAGAATGTCTGGTGGGTGGAGGTGGGCATGGGTCTGGGCAGCGGCACAGCAGAAGGGTGCCATTAATTGTGCAAAGTCAGTGCGACTGAAAAAGGCAAAGTCAGTGCCAAGTTAACAGACGCCACTTGCCAAAAAACACTTGGGCAAAATGTTAAGTCTCAGACATTCTGTATTTTAACAATATGTAATTTGATTTAAGATATCATTTAGCTTATAAAAAATTTGTTGGTTTTAGACATCTGGATTTAAGGAAAGCAAGTTAATTGATTTTATTTGATTTAATATATTATTTGCAAAACATATTTTAATTAAATAATTTATTTTTAAAATATTATTTTAAGAATTACATTTATTTTTAAGTACATGGAATATATACTCCAAAAAATAAGGTCTCTGTATAATTTTAAAATTTGTTCCCAAAACTTTAAATATATATATTTTTTAAGTGCAAGACAGACAAAATTGAGTTGGAATAAAGGGACGATGCAAGAGAATAAAATGCCCTCAAACGAGGTCCTGCTCCTCCTTTTCCATTTTCATTTCCTCCACCTCTCTATTTCGGTATGCCATAAATTGTATGCTATTTTTATTGTCATTTCCATGGCGAGGCAGAATGTTTGTTTAATTTTAAATGCCGACCGAAGGACTTCCCTTCCCTCTATCCTGTTAGGCGGCCACCGCCACAACTCCAACAATTAAATACAATTTCGAAAATCCCGAAAAGTGCGTCGTTGTCACAGCAAGAAAATAAACAAGAGACCGGCATAAAACGAGAAAAAGAAGAGATAAATCATGCACAGTTCTCGAACGCTTCGCTTCTATTTATCAAGCTCAGCGGAATTCTTTGTGGAGGATAATTTGGAAGAGGTGGCGGGGAAAACCGGAAATATATATATTTTAAAATTCGTGTGGAAACTCGGTTTGTGGCCAGGGAAATGTTGCCTTCGCTGAGCATATTTAGTTTTCCTTGCAAAGCAGGAGGGAAAAATCGTTTTTGAATTTAAACGTTAATATTTGAAAAATCCGCCAGGCTTCAACTAACTTTATATTAGGTATTTTTGGAAAATATATTTACCTTTAATCACTTGATTTCCCGCCACTTCCTTCACAAAACCCCATCACATTAGTGAAAAGCAATGAAAGCCTTTCGTCGGGAGCGGGAAAGACAACATTTCCTTTTGCGGCTGGCCAAATATTTGCATTAAATTTGGCCAAGTGGCAACGTTTATTCTGCTACTATACATTTTTTTTCTCTTCTGCCGGTTTTACTTGCTTTCAATTGCGTTTTTTCTACCCCTTTTTTTGTGTGCCACGGCACTTGATTTTCTCATTCTCTATTTCCTCTTCATTTTTCTTCGCTCTGCGAATGTGTGTGGGGGGTTTTTTTTTAGTTGTACAACAATTTCTTTGTTTGCTCTGTGCTTTCGTGGCGAGTTAATTTTGCATTTCCGCTCATTTAACTGCATTTCCACCGCTTTCCATCCCTATCCTTCCAGCTGGTTGCCATGGGCCGGGCTCAAAGTGCCGTGAAGTTGTTTTGGCCGCAGGAAGTTCATTTGTAGAACAGGCAACAGAAGCGAAAGTCATATGAATTTCCAGCGAAGAGAAGGCTATGAAGTGCCACTCGGAAGGAGTAAAAAAGATTTCAACACAGAATAGAGATATATATGTATTTTACAAGTCAAAATGGAACCAGCAACCCGAAAACGTAAGACTCCGTTTAGCCAGGATAATGTGAGTAGATATAACAAAAAAGGTAATTCCCAAAAAACTAATCAGAACTTCCTTAGAAACCTGTGACCAAAAGGACTTGTACCTTGTCAACAAAATTAACGAAGTCACCCAACTCCACACTAATTCAAACGGTTAAAAGACCCCTTAAGAAGTTCTCTTCAGATCTTTCGAATCTCCCGCCAGTTCCCGCAGTCGATGCTTTTGAGCGAGGATATCAAGTAGAAGTGATTTTAGATATGGTACAAAACTCTCACAAGGAGCAGTTTCTCTACATCAAGTTTAAGGATCTGCATGAGCCCGAACTGGTTCCTTTGGAACTTGCCTTGGATCGTGTCCCCCACCTGCTCTCCGCTTTCTACCAGGAATATGTCCAGGCCTGGGAGAAACTGGAACAGCAGTAGAAGGACACTTCCCCCTGAAAATTTAAGGAAGAAATTGCACACTTTAAGCGAAGTGCGAAACTGCCACGCATTTATGCCGCATCCTTTTGTGCAGTCCCGCGTCGAGTTTTAAATAATTTTATGCCTATTTGCCTCGTGCAGCTCGCAAAATTTCACACCTCAGCCATCAAAAGTTTGGGGCGGACGTGCGTGCCAGAAGTTTCTGCCATACGCAAATAAAGGATACCGAAAGGATACAGAAAATGTTTGAGCATGGGCGTGGTTAGACTACGTTTAAAGGGGGTTTGTGGCTTGTTTCACAGAAATGGATTTAATTTTAAGGCTGTTAGGATCTGTAAGTTAGAATCTTTTCTCGGTTGACTAAAAACTTAGTTATTTACTTGAAACCCTTTTGTCCACGCCCCTGACTAGCCTCATAAAAATTATATGTCAAGCGCAAAATCTCGGGCAAAGCGGGTTGGCGAGAAAAATTGCTTAAAGATGCAAGATACAAAAAGCTCGGCGAATATTGCGGGGAGTGGGGCAAACTGATTCCATTCGCTTCAGCTAAAGTGAGGATGTGAATGTGGAATGAATGTGCAGTGGATGCGGATGTGGATGAAAGTGCGAACGTGAATTTGAAATGATGTGCATGCGAGGAATTCGATTATTTAATATGTGAATTTGATTCAGCATCTCGGGTCCCAAGTTTCGAGTTCCAAGTTCTGAGTTCCGAGTCTTTGGCAGCAGGTGCACTTCCCCTTTCCGGAGACTTTACGACGACCGACCATCTGTGCAGCTGCATCTGCATTTTTATGAGTGTGCGGGTGCGCAGTATATTTGTTTAACTTATGTGTGTCGGATTCCGTTCATTGCACGTGCCACCCCCTTTTGGCCACCACTTTCACTGGCCCCTCCCCCGTTTCACCTAAGCCTGCTTTGCCTTTCGCCGCCCCTGCAACAGCAGCATCCAGCTGTTGACTTTTATTGTGGCTTTACATTAATTTGTTAAGTGCACCATGGCTGCCTGCCTCCGGACTGATGTGGCCACGCCCCCAGAAAGCCTTGTAAAAGTCAGCTGGGGGCGTGGGAAACTTTGAGGTGAGAAACTTGAGTGTCGGCAACATCCTGGCACTAAAATATCATATTTAGAAATATGCTGGTCAACACGGAAGTTAAATTAAACTTTATTTTCTTTAAAAATTTTTTTTAAATTTTTCTTAAATTTTTTTTATATTTTTTAAATTTGATTTAAATAATTTTCCATGTGTTTTTCGTGTCCCCTTTCAAGGTTAATCGGTTTCTTTAACCACAAGAGCCAAAAATGAAATCGATGCTGCTCCTGCGGTCAGAAGCCCACACCCAAAAAAAACTCGATATGAATCGTAGGTCAATTTGACCTTTTTTAAGATCATTTTTAACTTGATATGGGGCCAGGTAAATGTGATATGTTCGAAATGTAAAAAATCTTATTTCTGACCAAAACGTACACTAGTGCGAGCGAGAAAACATGCTTGAAGTACGTCAGTTCGAATTTCGAATCAGTCTTTCTCCCTTCCACTCATGTCATTTTGCTCGCCATATTGATTCTTGCGCTCTTTTTCGAAGTTAGAGAATCTCCGAGAGAGAGAATTCGGCAAAATGATATTATTTAATGTAAATTTATGAATATTTCAGGTAAAAACGATATGAGTAGGAATAACCAGAAAATTACCTGGACTTATCGATTTTACGGCGACGTGCTTTTTTTTGTGTGCAGGCGTTGTTCCTTTTAATTATGCTCAATGCACTTAAATGCAAATTATGCTCCGAAAAATGCAGCGGCTGCAAAATGCTACCCCATAATTTATGAGCCACTGCCGCCGCCACCCCGCGCGTTCCATTTCCATGCGTTCATTTTCTGCATCACTTCCGTTTCCGCTCCCCGTTTCCAATTCCAATTCCCCGCGATGGCCATCGCATTATGTTGTTGAACATTCGGTTTGGTGTCATCAACGACCTGATGTCGACTGTTGATACAAGTCGCCTGATAAGCGTAATCAGGGAAATAGACACAAGCCCAGGGAACATATTAGGATGCGATCGTGATTGGGGGCGTGAGATGCTCTAAAGGACTTAAGATCGCGTGATAAATGAAATATGGGCACTTCCAAAAAAAAGTCCACCAAGCCAAAAACCTTGAAACTTGAATAAAACATATTTCCACGTGATTTTGCCCCGATATTAGTTTCTATTTAGTTGGATACTGAGCTTAACTACAAATTTGGAGTACAGTTTGATTATTTTTATGACAAACCCCACCAATATACGCAAAAATCACTTTTTGGCTATTTTTTTGTTATTTTTTGGACCTATCTTCTGATGTAAATTTATCCTATAGGAATGCTAATATGTGACATTTTTCTGTACTAAATGCTTCATTCACATGCTAAACTATTAAGTTAAAAGCAAAACATCCAGCAATTGAGAGATAGAGGTAAAGAAATCCGCTTTACAAAACAGTCGGAAAAAATGTCCCGAGCGACATGTCCCGAGCGAATGTGGTTGAAACTGCATAAAAAAAAACGGCAAAGAATTTTTGAGTAAAACCAAAAGCATTTCATAGCGACATGTTTGAACGACATTCTAAAAAAATCGCATTCAAATATTCCATCAGAATTAGCTAATTTCTGGTGTTGTATGAACCGAGCGAATACGGCAGTTTTTTACCGATATCTTAAAAACTAAAAGTGGTACAAAATCAAGATTTTTACCAAAAATAGAGCTTGGGAAGAGTGAAAGGAAAAGCCCATAATTAAAATTTAAATCCATTGTTTTACAATTTTTTTTCAACTTTAAAGGTGTGCAAATGTCCCGAGCGACATTTTGGAAGTGCCCATATATAAATAAAATAAATACCTAAATAATATCTATTTTTAAGAGATGAGTTACCTCACCGTCGTATATAAACATACATCAAGGAGGTTATTTAAAAGATATCATGTTTTTCAAAATTATTTACGTTACATTATACAAAAAGGTTGTTGGTTGGACTGGAATATTTCGCAAACAAAAATTACTTTTATTAATAAAATAGTAAATAATAGTAAACCATTCAAGAAAAATTTTATTTAAAATTACAAAAAGGTAATAAAACATTAGTGTCCATAAGGCTACTCACGCCGTCATATCCGCACACCATCTAAGCGAATTACACCCGGTCACACATGGACTCCCTCTCACAGTCGGATGCACACAATATTTGTTTAATTAGCCCGTATTAATGTCGCTGCAAGAGCAAACAAAGGTGGCAGCTCATTATGAGAGACGCCAAAGAGCCAATCGGCCATTGTTATTGGCCATTGTAGTCGGGTTGGCCACTAAACACACCGAACACCGAAGCTCTCCCCTTTGCATTTCCACACTCCCGACCTGACCCACTATTCGATTTTCATTTTCATCGCCTATTGATTCAGAAACCATTTGCCTCGGCCCACAATAAATCCGCTTGTGAATTCAATTGTGGCGCTTATAATATTGTGCAACGACTGCCAGCCGACAACTCTCTGGCTGTTTAATGATGTGATTTCTGTTTTTGTGCTCTGGGGGATTATGGCGAGCTCAAAGGTTGAAAGGAGGAATTCACTCTGAGAAACATTTCAGATCGCCCAGTAAACTTCGCTCCGACTGCCAGTTCACATCGTTAACTCACCGTTCCAAACACACAGTTTTCACAGCAAAGTAGAAATGGCCTGCAAAAAGAAGACCAAGCTGTGGGAATCAATGGCCAAGGATGAAATGAAGACCACCACACAGGCGATGCTCGAGGAGGGTGCCAAGGGGCTAAGGACCATTTCCACGCAGGAGAAAAAGCTGGTCAACTTTCAGTCGTTCAATATGGATGAGTGAGTGGAAAATTATCCTGTTTAGGGAAATAAAGGGGCGTACTTGTGGGAAGTATTATGCTTTGGAAATTACAGCTTAAAATCGATGTACTAAAACCCTTTTAACTAGCTGAATATATATATATTTTTTTTTAGTCCCCGTTATGGAGTCTCCGATATCGATGACATAATGGAACCCCCCATGTTGTCCAGCTACACTCGACAATATTCTCAACCCTATCCAAATCGCTGCAAGCCGCTTGATCCAAAAACCGAATCACCAGATCCGGTCTTCAATCGCAAGCCCAAAAACGATTTTGAGTTTACTACGGGTCTGGATTTCAAGTTCCTGGATGATCACATGCATAATCTTTCCGAAACGCGCAAGAAAGTCAACTTCTTCAGGCAGTTGAGGTGAGAACTCTTGCTATTATCAAGTAACTTTATAACTATAATGTGTTTTTTACACAGAAATCAATCTTTTATTCTGTACTAAAATGCAATTACAAACGTCTGAATAAAAAAAGTTAATTAATGCACTTCAGCTAAACAATTTGTTACAATTTGACCCCTTCGTCGCCGGAGTCACGGAACATGGCTCTTGTTTTAAAAGCTTTCAATTGCGCCATGATTATAAATTACCCCTCATTATGTCCCCAGAAAAATGTGTCAATTGCATTTTCCGAGCGCCCCCTTCGTTTTCAATAGAAATCAATTAATTTTGCATAAATAAACCCGATTGTCAGCGTGGTTGAGGGGAGAGAGCCAGCCATGTGCTTGACTATTATTAGGTTAAAGCTGGTACACTTTTCTTGGAAAAAATAGCAAACAAATTGCAATTAATAATGCAGAAGGCAGAAGGCAGCCAGCCAAGTCCGGTATTTCGCCCCGGGCACTGGCATTGCTGCCAATTTGCATAAATGCTTGAAGACCTCTCCCGGTCCCGGTGGCCAGTGGCCAATGGGCAATCGGTCTGCAGGGTGGTGTCAAACTAATGGCAGACTATGACAGGGATCTGATTTATTATGCACGGTAATTAGTTTGGCCTCCTTAGCGTCCGAATGGAAGCCAATAAACCAGGCTGACATGCCGCTGCATTGATTTTGGCCCGAGGAAAGCGCGCAAAAGCGATGGATTTCCTTCTGCCTTCCGCCGTCTGGCGTCTGCCGTCTACCGCCGCGGGCATCGCTTCGTTGGAGTGCTATGGCTATGGCTTTGGCCAAAACATAACACTCTCCGGCTGACAGGAGCATGAAAGTCGGAATGAATGTTCCGAGGTGACAGCACAGCCAGCGGAGGAAGGAACAGGACGGGCAGTGGCTCGGTCATTGTGACTGCACAAAACATGGCTTGGACACGATGTCCTTGCGCTGCAGCTCTTCATCAGGATCACTGTGAAACGGAGCAGTCGATGGGGAAATTGTGACTGGGTGCTACAGGCGAGATGTGATTTGTTTGGGCTACAGAATCTGGTTAAGATAATAGTGAATTATTATTTAAATTATCATTGAAATATGCATTTTTTGGTTGATTTATTTATAGATAAAATTAGGATAGCTTACGATTAGGAATATACAGGTACAGATACAAATAGTCTAATGGGCTTAATAAGCAGCACGACGTTCTGCTGTTCTCTCAATTAATATTAGAAGTGAGAAAATAAAAGGTTTAGTCAATAATCATCCCATTTACCTATTCTAGAATGACTAATTAATATTGGTAAAGGATTTTGCGTTACTAAGTCCTAGATAAGAGATAAACCATAGACACATGCTGTAAATATTGTAGCATTTTAAAATCCCCCGTTATTAAGAAAATTAGGATACTTTTTAGGTATTTTAAAATTATTTAAGGAAAAGGTGAATGGTTAGAAAACTAAATTACCAAGTTTGAAAATAAGTTACTTACGGAGATTAAAAATTAATAGGAACATTTAAGTTATATTTGTTTAATATAAGAACAATTTTGTTTTTAATTATTTAGTCATTTTTAGTCATTTCACTCAATTTTTAAAATTCTTTTAAAGTGTAAAATTGGTTGAGTAGCTGAATTGAACGTAATTGCTAAGAGAGTCCCGTGACCATTTGACTTGACTGATAACTTTTTTGACAGTTCAGTGACTTTCTGGATTCATCCCGCACTCGGTTAAAAAATCAGGCCCCCGCACTGGTAAGTGACTTGGTCTTATCATCGCTTTTGGTGCAAACAAAAACCAGCTTGGCGACGTTGTTTGCTCGACATTTTGGCACATTCCTGCCAGACGCCTGCCCACATTCGTCAGCCCGAAGGACGAGACAGCCGGCAAGGATGCTACTCGGGGGGAAGAGGTCTGGAGGCCGATAAGAGCTGTCCCCCACCACGCACCACTGATAAGGATAAGCGACGACTTTCACCACGGCACATGGGTCCTTTCACCAACGAGTGGGCCAGAAACCCACCACACACCAAACACAACACTCACCAACGAAAGCCGGCTCTCTTTTGTGCGACTGCGTCGGGTCGTTCGGCTCGTCCTTCGGCTCTGATAAGACCCAGCTTCGTGCGACGGCCGAGGCCCAGTTCGGGTCACCTGCTGGCGGAGCTCGTTGCCCCAAGTCAGTTCACTCGGGAGCGCGGCGGAGTTCGTTTAGCGGCGGGCCAACGGTGCGGATACTTGACTTGGGCCTGGTCTGAGCTGCCAACTGAATGTGTGAGGTGTGCGAGGACGAAGTGCGAATCTCGGCAATATCGCATCTCGGGCGATATTATCCATCAGGCAAGCGGCCTTCCTGGCAAAGATCAAAAGTTCCGAAACACCCAAAAGTGTCAAGTGAAGGAATTAAAAAAAAAAGAAACAGGCAACAAAAAAACCCGAGTGTGTGCGCGTGCATGTGTAATTAATTTTTGGCATTTAAATTGGCCGACACCGGGGCTTTAAATCAATTTGACAAATTTGCATTTTTTTGGTGGGCACACAATGAGCAAAAAAAAGAGGGAAGCCCGGGCAAAGGCAATTTCATTTACAAATTACAAATTGATGTGCCCGAAGTACAGCAGCAATCAGGGGTCGTCAAAAGAGGATGAAGGATGAGAACGGGGGAAGCCTGCCAAATGTCCTTACAGCCGCTTCCTTTATTCTCTTTCCGAAATCGTTTGTCTGATAGGCAGCAACGTGTTCGGTTCGGCGAATTAAGTGGATTATGGGGGTCGTCTTAAGGATTAGTTGCTTGGAAATGCTCGGGCTATCAATCGGCGGGGTGTCCTTGTCAAGGCTGCTTTTAAATTGGGCGGCGAGTTTCCAGTTTCATCGGCGTTTTAATGCCTAACAAGTGGATCCAATAATGTTTTACATGTGTTGTTTTACAAGTGTTTCACTTGTGGAAAATTCTTTTCGAATTTTTTATATGTTTTATTTAATTCTTATTTCTAGTTTGTTCTATATATAAGGAAACATTCTTAAAAAAACATATTAATTAACTTCAAAGTTTATTTTATTTTTTGTACTTCATCAGTGTTTGCCATTTGAAAGCTGTATCACTGAAAATCTTGAAGTTTTACCCTTTTTTCTTTTCCTATTGTACTCTTAATCTAACTTCTGTAACTCCTTTATAGTCTTGGGTAATTTATGTTTTGCACACCAACTGTCTTAAATTAAAAATTTCATAACTGATTTAAATATTTTTTCTGCCGCATATTTTTGCCTATTTTCTGTTCTTTGCTTAATGTGGTGCAAGAAAATCTCGCATTTACACTTTAACGAAGGACGCTGAAAACAGGAAAATGTAAAATCGGGGAAAACGGAGTGGCAGCAAAGAGTAATAATAATAATAATAAGAACAAAATAAAAGGAATGAGCTGAAGAAAAATGTCTGAAACGTGACTCGTATGCAAATATTTTCAAAACGCAGACTAATAAGTGGAAGAAAAGCCAGGCGACAAAAGTGGCCGGAGACAAAGGGGCAGGTCAGGAAGGAGACTCTCTAGGTGGCAATGTCCTGGAGCAATTCTGTCTTCCTCCATTCATATTTAAAACGTAGCTTTGCATCTGGCAAAAATATGCTGCTTTATTCATAAATTAAAGAATCATTTCTCCCTCATTTATAACAATAACAGAAGTCTGTCGACGACCTCGACACTCCTAAAAAATGCTCATGTGCTCTCGCCCTCAAATGTGAAAAATGAAATAAATTTCATTGCATAATTCATGGGTCACTGGGGATAGGGGAGGGGGAGTGTGGGGGCAGCCGCTTGCCATTTTGTATGGTCATAAATCTTTTGGCATATGGGCTGCCATTTCCCATCATCATCAGCAGCGGGAAAGAAATGTGAAATCCCAAACAAAAAAACTCATGAAAAATATTTCAAAAATTAAATTTTTATTGTTCTCCCTTATCGTTCGCCAAATGCCCATAAACAATACATCAGAAAGCGAGCAAACAAACGAAAACAAACAACAGATATTGTTTACAATTGGCAAAAGGGCAAGAGACAAGCAAATAAAATAGTTTGCAAATTCATTCCATGACAAGTGGCTAAAACAATAAGCACAAAACGTTTTAAAACTCTCTCTCGAAATACAAACAATGAACGGCAACAGCAGCAGCAGCAATATCAACGGCAGCAACAGCAGCAACATCGAGTGCAACAGCAACAGCACGGCAGCAATATCAACATCGTCAGCAGCAGCAGGTCCAGTCACTCGGTCATCAACGGCAGCAACAACCATGTTCTATGGCTAATACAAAAGCTACAAACAACAAATCGCCAACAACAACTAAGCCAAAAGTTCGCCAAAGCATTTGATGCTAAAACAACAACAAAAAGGAAAACAACAACAGCAGCCACATCAACATTGGCAACACTTTTACGAGTTGCCAACTACCTTGTACAACGAATTTTTATTATTGCACAAGGTAAGCTTCCTATTTTTTTTATATTTTATTTAGAGTTCACTGTAGGGGGCGGGAAATTGATGTCCTCGCTCACCTTTGGCTGGCAAATCGAGCAGCAAAATTTAATGGCAGCTGCTACATTTTTCAGCGATTTACAGAACCTGACCTATCGCAGTTTCAGATGAGTTGAGAGTGCAAAGAAAGTATTTCGCTTTGGCAAACAATTTAGCTGAAGGGATGGGCAAATGGGATTACCTTCGGCCAAAATGACATAAAATATTATGACTTTACTTGTAAATTTATAGTAGAGATTTTAAAACGGATTTTATTTTACCTTACAAAAAAGTTTTTCCTTATGATTTATATTTTGTAAAATAAATTATGCATTTTACTTTTACTTGAGATAACATATTTTTGTTTCCAAACTTAATTATTGAAAAAAAATTTTAAGTCAATATCTCAATTTGTGGACTTGATACTATAATTTTGAACGCAATTGTTAACTCAATATTTAAAACTTAGCTGGTTTCCAGTGAAAACTTTTCACCAGAGCAATTTAACTGAATAAAACATTTGATGCATTGGAAAGTAGATATTTATTAAATATTTATTCACTTGTATTTTAACATTTAAAACCACTTTAATCTGCCAAAATTCTGTTTTGGAAGGGGGTCGCCCTCCTAGCTTCTGGGAGGAAGTGATAAATAATAGTTAAAGTCCCATGCCCTCAATTCATAGTCCCAAACCATTGGCCACCCCTGACTTGTCGACCTCCTTATTATAAGGCCCCAAACTTGTGGCCAAAGAAAGTGCCTTCGCCGCAGAATATTGGCCCAGGCAATTCACTTTCTCTCGCAGCTCAATTAGCCCCCTCAGCCGGCAGTCTGTGGCCGGGATCCGGGGAAATCCCCGTAATTAAATGCAAGCCACATGCTTGGCTGACTAACCCACATCCTGTAGCAGCAGCAACACCGCCACCGCCTCCACCACATTCCACTCTAACTGAAGAACTTGTCCGACATGCATACATACATCATCTCGCAGGGGGCAGAAAATCGAAAAGAAAGCGATGACAGGCGAGCGAGTGGAAAAAGTTGTTCAAGTTACTACTGAAAATGCTTTTCAGCTGCCGCATGGAAGTCCCTTTTTAATTTTTCATGGCTGCCTCGCTCAAAGTCAAAGCAAACAGACGAGACGAGAGCCAAAAGTCGGCGGGTGGGGTGGGGTGGCTACGAAATGCATATGCATATACTGTAAGTCATACTTAACCCATCGCAAACACATTTCCCGGCACTCCGCTTGGATTTTGACTGCGCTCATCTTTCATCTCGTGTCCAAAATTCAAAATTCCCATACGCTAAGCGTGAAAAATGGCTCGAGTTGGGCCAAAGGCAAAGGCATCCTTCTTCCACTCCGCTGACCTGCTGGCCGATCAAATATTTGCATAGTAAATGGTTTTTATTATTAACTGTGTAAACCTCCATCTCGGAGGCTCCATCTTCGGAGCCGCCTTCTGTTTTTCGCTCGTGTCCAATTTTCATAAAAACGCCGTAACAAAGTTGTTAAAATATTTGCCCAACTCTCTCTAAGTGGGCTGCTTAGTCCGTGTTGGGTGGTCAGTGGACCGGGGACCACCCGGCGTATGCGTTATACACAGGAATCAATTAAATCATCTGCATGCTTTTAATTAAAATTCTCGTTGAGTTACATAATTGAGTCAGCCCCTTTGTTTGGTTTTTTTGATGGGTATGTTCGCTTTATAGCAGGTGTTGTGGAAAATAAGATGCTATTAATTAATGTTGTAGCTTCAACATTTTTTAAATTTATAATATTTAAATTTAAAAATTGTAATAATTAAAAATTAATTACGTTTTAAATTTTTTTAGTTTAAGTCTTGTATTTGTTGCACTTCAAATTTATTTTTAAAAGAATTTGGTTGATTGGTTAAATCTTACCTCAATTGTTATAATTATACCAAATTCTGGTTAGGAAAAGTTTTTATTATTTAAATTTGATGGGTAGCAGAAATTCGTTAATTTCTTCTTCGAGCCATCAAAGTTAACACGCTTTTGCCACTTTTATGCCATGCCCTTTGCGGCCAGCCGTTTTTTCCATTTTCCTCTTTGTGAGTCCCCCTCCTCCCGACGCCCATGCACAACACTCACGTAAATAAAGCGCGAAATTTAAAGCTTGAATCTCATTAAAATGGTTTTATTGCCAAGGAAAATGGCGGCGGAGAAAGGGGTGAAACGTGGATGGGGTAGGAGATGCGAGATGGGAGATGCTTCCATTTCGTTACACATTTATTTTTCACCCATCCATAGTTTCATTCCAATGGAGTCGACGCTGCGGGTGTCAATTTCATTGCACGCTGCTCACTTTGAAGTTGGCCAAAAAGGGGGATAAAAAGGGGCTAGAAAGGGGAAGGAAAATCGGGTGAAAATCGGGGGGAGATACAGTTGCCTTAGCACAATTGAAATCGATAGCGGAGGAGTGAAAAACTACGGGGCGGGTTGGGAAAACCGCTCAAACTCAATTTGGAGCCGTCCATATATTTTCCCTCGTCCTTTTTCGGTTACCCATTTTCCGCAGCAGGGGGAACCAATAATTTTCATTCCAACTTGGCATTTTTTGGCGGCTGCCAGACGCAGCACAAGCAGATGACTTCTTGCTTTGGCCTTTGGGAGGAGGAATTTCCAAAGGCTTTCCAGCAGGCTGCGAGAGAGAAAAAACCGTTTAAGTGGAAAATTACACTAAAATAGACACAAAATGCTATTTGTGGGTGACTGGCCAACAAGCAGCAGGGGGCTTTTATTTCTGCTGCTAAAGGAGGGCAAGGGGAAAGTGCGGAAAATGGTTGAGGGAAATTCCGACCTGTTCCTGACGTCATGTGTTGGTCGGTCTTTCTGCCAGCCAGTGCACTTGGGTTGAGTGGATTCGGTTAAGTGGAGTGGAATCCATGGAGCATGCACACCAGTCAATAAAGACGTTTATGTCCAGATGAAGCTACAAAAATTATTGGGGAAATTCCAAGTTCACCTCTATATGCCAATAATTTTACCCACAAAAAATACAAGTTCAAAATAAAAGAAATAATAAAAATGGTTAAGAGGTTTATTCCAATAAATTGAAACTTTATGTTAGAGTAGTTCAGATATCCCAACATAAATATGGTATTATATTATCTGATCAGTAAAAAATTTTAATATATATATATTTATTTTTCACATAGATCCCTGTCGATACCAAAGTTTTTATGTGACATACTTATCCTTTTGCTCGGTTCCCATCTTGATCTGCATTGGATACATTTAATCAGCGTCCTTTTGGCAGCTCTTCGACAAATATTTTTTCTCGTTATCCCATTTCTCACATACTCTCGCAACATGGGATGGAAAGAGCCCATTAAAGCATCATTCAGTCAGTGACAGCCTCGTTTCGTTCCTTCGATTTTCCCATTTGACAGTTCATTTTGCAGCGAGTGACGTTCAACGGAAAACAAATAGCAGGAATAAAGAAATGCCCAGATGGAAATTTTAAAGGGCAAATCAGCCTGACAGTTGGCCCATGAAAAATGCAGAAGGCCCAAAATAGTTGAGCAAAAAGAGTGGGATATCCGATGCGATGGGGCATTTAATTGTTTTTAGAGTAGCGATGGAGAATAAAAGTTAAAGTAAAGTGCAATTTTTGTGTTGACACTTGTCTGCAGTGGGAAAAAGGAAGACAAAATGTAGCTGCAACAATCAAAAGTAAATACAAATAACAAGTTCTGTGAGGCAGCCATGTCCCATGTCCCAGACAAGATGCGACACTGAAAGAGACGGCAGCTGCCAGGGAGAAAGAGAGGGCCGAACAACAAGGCAGACAGACCGTGACTGCACATAAGGAGCAGGCTCATCATCATCCTCATCATCTGCAGCCGGGCAAAACAAATCCTTATGCCACTACATATCCTTGTGCGCTTGTCTATGTCCTGGCTTATGACCCCTCGGTCGTCCTTCGTTCGCTCTCTCTTCCTGGCAAAGGGACAATGCGATTCTTCTGCACTTTTTCCTCTGCTCGCTCGTTTGTAAGTAAAATCCTTTTGGCTCAGCATTTGTATGCCCATCATAAAAAGGACAACAGGAGGGAATGAGAATGAACCGTCCCGCACTTCTCCTCTCCCCCATTCAGAGTAGTTATTTAGGTAAATATGAATACGTGCATGTCTCTGCGAAATGCAAAATAAACCCAAAATGCACTTCCGCCTTAATGCGTTTTGTTTTGGACAGGGGACAAGCCGAAATGGATATTAGTTTGGCTGATCCCGGGAAGCCCTGGTAATGCCAATCCCCCGTAATTGCGTGCTACGAATGCGACCCCATAAACCGGGCTACTGGTTCCGGGTTGCGGGGATCGGGATTCCAAAATCGGGCCAGGGGAATGTGAGAAATGGCTGCAAGTTGGCAGCTTTTACGGCACGTACCCGACTGCTGCTCCCAATTTCCGTCAGAAATATAACACCAGCAGAAGTGCGCCTGGAAATGCAAAGTCCAATGGATATGCAATATGAATAGCACTCAGCATACGGAAATGATTTCGCAAAGCTGTGGGAATTGGACCCCAAATGGATGCTCGGCGAGCTTTCGATGTCAGATGTAACGGTTTAATTAGTGATTCTGGGCAGTAATTGGCTAGGAATTGGTAATTGATGATTATACATGTTTAATCCAGATTACAAAATTGATTAAATTATAAATTACTTACCTTTACAAACATTTCCAGTATTATTAGCAAATTTTTGCAATAAGTGGAGAATATTATATTCCATCAGGTGGTTGCATAATCAGGTGGTTGCTAGGAATTTTTTTTCAATTAATGAAATAATAGATGAATTTAAAAAAATAATTAAATTTATAGATTTCATTAGCCTTTGAATTAGATAAATAATAATATATTCATTTAACAAATAGGTCTCATTAGCATTTCAATCAGATTAATAATAACATGATTCATTTGAAAAGCATCACGACAGCTAAATG